AAACTAGTCTCTCAGTTTTGAAGCTATCGACTTGAAACTTTGCACACACCCTTCTTCCCTTTGCACGCAGTATATAAGTCGGAACAGTCCGGATCGGCCGACTATATCCTATAGCTGCCATATAACTGATTGATCGGAAATGGTATAACTTTAGTGTTTTTAAAGTTAGAGAGTTCAACTTTGACATGAGAGCTATTTTTGGCAAAACATTACGACATGCCAAATTTCATAAGGATCGGCCGACTATATCCTATAGCTGCCATATAACTGAACGATCGGAAATGACCCAACTTTCGTGTTTTTGAAGATAGAAAGCTGTAACTTAGTACTGATTATATTTTTGGTCAGATAATCCGACCTACTCAATTTCATAAGGATCGGCCAACTATAGCTGCCATATAACTGAACGATCGAAAATGTTTTTTGGTAGAAATACCAACTTTGGTATTTTTGAAGATAGAAGTTTGGGACTTTTTTTATACCCTTGCAGAGGGTATTATAATTTTGTCCAAAAGTGTGCAACGCAGTGAAGGAGACATCTCCGACCCTATAAAGTATATATATTCTTGATCAGGATCACCTCCTGAGTTGATATGAGCATGTCCGTCTGTCCGTCTGTCTGTTTCTACGCAAACTAGTCTCTCAGTTTTAAAGCTATCGTCTTGAAACTTTGCACACACCCTTCTTTCCTTTGCACGCAGTATATAAGTCGGAACGGCCGGGATCGGCCGACTATATCCTATAGCTGCCATATAACTGATTGATCGGAAATGGTATAACTTTGGTGTTTTTAGAGTTAGAGAGTTCAAATTTGACATGAGAGCTATTTTTGGCAAAATAATACGACTTGCCAAATTTCATAAGGATCGGTCGACTATATCCTATAGCTGCCATATAACTCAACGATCGGAAATGACCCAACTTTCGTGTTTTTGAAGATAGAAAGCTGGAATTTAGTGCAGACTCTATTTTTGGTTAGTTGATCCAACCTACCAAATTTCATTAGGATCGGCCGACTATATCCTATAGCTGCCATATAACTGAACGATCGGAAATGACCCAACTTTTGTGTTTTTGAAGATAGAAAGCTGGAACTTGGTACAGATTATATTTTGATCCATCCTACCAAATTTCATAAGGATCGGCCAACTATATCCGATGTTTGCGATATATATCCGGTTTTAGCTGCAAGGGTATATAAACTTCGGCTCCGCCCGAAGTTAGCTTTCCTTTCTTGTTTAGATTTTTTATTGTAATAAATTGGTTTTATTATGATGTAATCATAAGGATCGGAAAACTATATCCGATGTTTGCGATATTTATCCGGTTTTAACTGCAAGGGTATATCAACTTCGGCTCCGCCCGAAGTTAGCTTTGCTTTCTTGTTACCACTAAAAGTTGGGAAAATTGAATATAAAGCTTCTATAAATCAAAGAAACTCATTTTCCTGTGGAAGATTTTTTTAGTTCTTATCTTATTGAAATTAGTAGAGCATACCATATTTTAATTTTGAATTAAAGGAAAAGTCAAAAAATATTTCATTGAATTATTTATAATTATAATTATTTAGAATAATAAGTTATTTAAGATTTTAATTTTTAATTAATAAGAAACTTTGAATATCTTCTTTTGAAGATATCTTCTTTTGTCATGGCCATCACCAAAAATAATGTTTTTCTGAACGCAGCTTTCGAAGAGATTTGTTTTTAACGTGAAAATTTTGTAAATATGTAATCCTTAAAGATCATCCTTACCGAATTTGCTATTTTAATTGAAAGATCAAAATCTGAAGCCTTAGGATCAAGTATCTTTTTAATATAAACAATCTTCATATTAAATTTTTTCCAATGTTTATTGGTACATATTTTCAGTTTTTTTTTCTCCAACAGAAAAATTGTTATCTTTTTTTTCGAGTTTTTGCTGTTTTTGGCGCTGCTCTCTTTTTTTAGCAGCGTCAGCGCAACAACAAAAATGTTAACACTGTAGTATTTTTTTTTTTTGTAGTAGAGCCGAAGTTGATATACCCTTGCAGTTAAAACTGGATATATATCGCAAACATCGGATATAATTGGCCTATTCTTATGAGAATATCATAATAAAACCAATTAATTACAATAAAATATCTAAAAAAAACAAGAAAGGAAAGCAAACTTCGGGCGGAGCCGAAGTTTATATACCCTTGCAGTTAAAACCGGATATATATCGCAAACATCGGATATAGTTGGCCGATCCTTATGATTACATCATAATAAAACCAATTAACTAAAATAAAAAATCTAAAAATATGTCCCAAGCTTCTATCTTCAAAAATACAAAAGTTGATATTTCTACCAAATACCATTTCCGATCGTTCAGTTATATGGCAGCTATAGGATATAGTCGGCCGATCCTAATGAAATTCGGTAGGATGGATCAACTGGCCAAAAATAGAATCTGTATTAAGTTTCAGCTTTCTATCTTCAAAAACACGAAAGTTGGGTCATTTTCGATCGTTCAGTTGTATGGCAGCTATAAGATATAGTCGGCCGATCCTTATGGCATGTCGTAATGTTTTGCCAAAAATTTCCTGTAAAATTTGAACTCTCTAACTCTAAAAACACCAAAATTATACCATTTCCGATCAATCAGTTATATGGCAGCTATAGGATATAGTCGGCCGATCCGACTTATATACTGCGTGCAAAGGAAAGAAGGGTGTGTGCAAAGATTCAAGTCGATAGCTTTAAAACTGAGACTAGTTTGCGTAGAAACAGACAGACGGACATGCTCATATCAACTGAGGAGGTGATCCTGATCAAGAATATATATACTTTATAGGGTCGGAGATGTCTCCTTCACTGCGTTGCACACTTTTGACCAAAATTATAATACCCTCTGCAAGGGTGTAAAAAATTGTACTGCTTCCACTTGATCGTATTCTTAAACATATATAAAATACAAGCTAAAATATTGAAAAATTTAAAATAACAAATAATATAATTTCCTTTATCGTTAACCCAATAATGAATACCCCAATTTTCTGAAGGTAGAAAGCTGAAAAACTATACAATTTAACTATATAAACTATACTATACAATTTTTTTATGTTTATTATTTACTCTACTCTCCTTATTTTTCGTCAAAATCAAAAATAGAAAATTTTATTTTTGCAACGTAAAAAAAATTGAAACAAGAAAGGAAAGCTAACTTCGGGCGGAGCCGAAGTTTATATACCCTTGCAGTTAAAACTGGATATATATCGCAAACATCGGATCTAATTGGCCGATCCTTATGGGAATATGAATATATAATCCAATTTATTACAATACAAAATCTAAAAGAAGTCTCAAGCTTCTATCTTCAAAAATACCAGTTGGTATTTCAACCAAAAACCATTTCCGATCGTTCAGTTATATGGCAGCTATAAGATATAGTCGGCCGATCGGTATGAAATTTGGTATGTCGGATAAACTGACCAAGAATATAATCTGTACCAAGTTCCAGCTTTCTATTTTCAAAAACACGAAAGTTGGGTCATTTCCGATCGTTCAGTTAAATGCAGCTATAGGATATAGTCGGCCGATTCCGTTCGTTCCGACTTATATACTGCGTGCAAAGGAAAGAAGGGTGTGTGCAAAGTTTCAAGTCGATAGCTTTTAAACTGAGAGACTAGTTCGCGTAGAAACAGACAGACAGACGGACAGACGGACATGCTCATATCAACTCAGGAGGTGATCCTGATCAAGAATATATATACTTTATAGGGTGACCAAAATTATAATACCCTCTGCAAGGGTATAAAAACATTCCACACATATTTTCATCGTTTTGAACGTATGCGTAGCAGAAAAACACAATGAGAGCAGACCATTCACTGAAAGCGAAAAGAACATAGTTTTTTGTTTCATTTTTCGTTAATTTAAAAGTTTAAATAGGCACTAAAATAGTGTATTTTATTTTAAAGAAAGCTTTGCTAGCAACAGTTCTAAAACAAATGAAACAAGAGAGGAAAGCTAACTTCAGGCGAAGCCGAAGTTTATATACCCTTGCAATTAAAACCAGATATATATCGCAAACATCGGATATAGTTGGCCGATCCTTATGGGAATATGAATATATAATCAAATTTATTACAATATAAAATCTAAAAAAGTCCCAAACTTCTATCTTCAAACATACATACCAAAGTTGGTATTTTTACCAAAAACCATTTCCGATCGTTCAGTTATATGGCAGCTATAAGATGTAGTCGGCCGATCGTTATGAAATTTGGTAGGTCGGATCAACTGACCAACTGAAAAATATAATCTGTAACAAGTTCCAGCTTTCTATCTTCAAAAACACGAAAGTCGGGTCATTTCCGATCGTTCAGTTATATGGCAGCTATAGTATATAGTCGGCCGATCCTTACGAAATTTGGCATGTTGTATTATTTTGCCAAAGATGTAAAATTTGAACTCTCTAACTCTAAAAACCCCGAAGTTATACCATTTCCGATCAATCAGTTTAATGGCAGCTATAGGATATAGTCGGCCGATTCCGGTCGTTCCGACTTATATACTGCGTGCAAAAAAAAGAAGGGTGTGTGCAAAGTTTCAAGTCGATAGCTTTAAAACTGAGAGACTAGTTTGCGTAGAAACAGACAGACGGACATGCTCATATCAACTCAGGAGGTGATCCTGATCAAGAATATATACACTTTATAGGGTCGGAGATGTCTCCTTCACTGCGTTGCACACTTATGACCAAAATTATAATACCCTCTGCAAGGGTATAACAACTAGGCCTCCCTATCTATATTTTCTATGGAGAAAACTTGTTCCAACCCAATTTCTGTGAAAATGTTTCTCAGTGGGAAAATTTTTTGTTAAAGTTTTGGCTGTCAAATGAGGCAAAATGGGAGCAAATTAGGGAGCTTCTAAAAAATTTCAAACTGTCAGTGTGAAAAGTGACAGTTTGCCCCCGACTGCTTTAGTTTATGCACTCAACAACATTTGTTTTACATTAAAACAACAATTAAATACAGTTGTGGTTCCTTATGCTTTATTCGAATTCGTTTACACATACATATCTTATTCCGAAACATAGTGTAATAGCTGAACCGAAATTTTTATAAAGCTTTACACAACATTCAAGATTCCATCGAAGTCTGGCGAGCTGTGGGAAAGAAAGCAAATGATACATTATCTGACAAATATGACAAGCATTAGTTAGTAGAAATTGCGGGAACGTAAAAAAACAAAACATGCAATTAAGATAAAAACTCAGTTATAACAGAAACGACAAACTTACACCCTTTGGAATCTATAATGATTTAACACTCTTAGGCCTTTTCATCTGTAAAATACATTTGCATACATCGCGTTTATTGAGGATATAATAATCCCAGTCAATCAGTGTGAAATTAATTATTAAAAATTTTTGTATGGAGTACACAATTTTCTTACACAAATTATGCAATATAAGATTTAAAAAAAAGTGGTCTATAAGGGAATAAAAAAAATAAATAAGCAACAAATACATATTTTTCAACTAGTTAAAATATATATGTCTACTGTTACGTAATTTAATATTGGTTTTAAAAACCTAGAAAATATAGCCTATAAATTGGTCTTCGAATTGTTCAAAATTTTTATATTTAATGGACTCTGTATATTTATTATAAATAAAATTACTTGCAGCTTCTTCGTAAGCTTGGTTATTTTAATATCGGATAACTTTTTTCAAGATCTTTATGTATTTCTATATTCAAACCTAATATACATATGTAACTAAATAATCTGAATTATTCTAAATTAAATTGATTCCTTATTTGTGTTAGGTGAATACGTACGTGCTGGTCTACCGTTCGCCCACGGTGTAAATTTTACGTGACTTTCATTTCTTTTGGCAGCATCTGCACGCAATTCAGTGCGTAAAGCCTCTCGCAACACACGGGCTGCTACGTTTGAGTATTGAATATAACTGCGATTCACGATATACGTTGCGTAACATATGGTCGATTTTATTAAAAATATTAATATCAAACACAAAAAGAAAAATATTTAGAGTTCTTACGTAATTCCTGCAGCTCTCCACGCTGTCATTTTGATTTAATTAATGTTAGCTGAGATGACGCACCCAAACGGTTTCAACTTAATTCCTTTAAAATGATTCGCCTTTAAAACCAGACTAAGTATGTGAATTCGATAACAGCATAAAAACATTTGCGATAATCTTGAATTAGAAATATAATCGAAAACTAAAATACCCCTATTGCACTACAAGTTTCATGTCACTGAGTACATCTGTTTGAAACATTTGGAATGGAGAAATATTCCTACCCCAGTTCCATATATATATGTATGTTCATGTTACACCATTTAAATAAATGTATGTACATGTTGAAAATCATTTTGTCTTCTAAGCGAACTAGTTTCTCAGTTTTAATGCTATCGACTTTGCAAACACCTTATTTCCTTTTCACGTATTATATATGTAGGTAGGAACGGCCGGGATAGCCTAACAATGGCACGATATAATTAATTGACAGGATAATTATGGTGTTTTAAGAGTAAGCGATGGGATTTGGTATAGATTTTCTTTTTTGCAAAGGAGGATAAGGATCGGCTCACTATATCCTATACTTTCCATGTAACTGATCGATCGCAACTGACAAACTTTTTTTTACCAATTGATTAGACCTATTAACTTTTTTTAAGATCGGCTGTCTATATCTGCCTTAAAAGCGGAACGACCGGTATTTGGAATTTGATAAAAACTTTTGAAGTTTTGAAGATAAAAGCTTGGGATTTTCCTTAAATGCTGTATTCTAATAAATTGGTTTTATTACAAAATTTTTATAACAACAATATCCAACTATACTTTATACAACCATAGATTTGTGATATATATCCGATCTTAACTGCAAGTGAATATCAACTTCGGCTCCGCCCGAAGTTATCTTTCTTTCTTGTTTTTAAAAACTAAATTAATATTTTATATTTATTCATTTTATAAAGTTAAATTAATTTTAGGCAAACAATTGTTTGGTATCAGGTAGCACATTGATATATGTAAATGAACAATGCAACGGTGATCGGAGCCAAGAAAACGAAGACGAACAGCAACTTCCCGCAACGGGTTCATGAGATTAAAAATACCCGTTAGCTGCACGTGCCACGGTGGTAACCTCCTGAAATAGCTGTGCAGGTGGAGACCTCAATATCTTTCAACCCTATCTGGCGCCCAACCGAGTCAAAGACCATGACGAGATCTCCACGCCACGTGGAAGCCTCGAAAAATAAAATCACCAGCTTAAAAGTGGGACCTTAAAACGGATGTACCGGACCGCACAGAAGACTGCGAAAAAGAAGAAGGAAAACTTCCAGAGAACCATGTGAGTAAAGCCTTTTTTTATGAATTGCCAGAAAATATTAAAAAAAACGATAAGAAAAGAATATATTCAAATTTTGTTATTTTTTATGGTTAAGTGACGTCTTTTTATATGAATTGCATGAAAAAATTAAACTCATAATCAAAAATCGATAATTCGTAAAAATTTCTGTCCGCTTGAAAAAAAAACTCTTTAATTCGCAAAAATTCCATGCATTTTGGTCGACTCGCTAATTCGTAGTATTTGGCGCAACGCAAAGAATATGAACATTTTTTAATTCGTAATTTTGTTTCGTAACCTCCTCTATATCGTAATGCGTTGCGAAATTTTTTGTAGTTAAGGCACCGTTAGATTTTGCAGATAGCTATGCCGCCTTTATGTCGCTATGCATTATGAATTTTTTGTTTCGTTTAGATTTCTGATTTTTTCGGAGAGTAACATCGTTCTGTGAAAAGGTCACAATAAAGTACGCATAAGTCGTTATCAATCGCGCAAAAAAAAACATTATTTCAGCGATTGATAATGGAACAAAAAAAATTGAGGTGTCAAAACCATTCGATGTCGCTCCATCAAATCTATGAACATAGTGGATTTTGAGGCAAGCAGTGGTTACCAATTACCAATTATTTTAAAGCTTGATTTTTGTATAATTTATAAGTTTTTTATAATTTAATGTTTCTGCTTAATTGTTTTTGTTATTATAGTTTTATGGTATTGTTTAATTTCCCTTTAATTTAAAAAAAATTACAAATAAAAGTACATACTTATAAAGTTTGTTTAATTTTAATAAACTTAAAAACATATGTAAAAATGATATAAAATGTAAAAACCCCGTTAATTCGACTCTTTCATTTTTGAGCTCCGCTAAATAGAAATCTCGATAAATGGAATTCCCGTCTAATTCGTAAAAAAATCGCAACCAACAGGCGTGGTTCTGCGACACAAGGATAAGCCAACTTGGGAACTCACGCGCAAGTCATAGACCGTGGGAGAGCACCTCGGTCATCAGCCACGCAGCTTCAAACTCCGGGCTCGCTAGCGCGTATGCGCGGTGTTTCGGTGTAGCGGGAGCGCGACGTACCGTCAGCAAAACGGCAACTTCCAATCCTGGCTCGCTAGCGCCTATGCGCGGAATCCCAGTGTAGCGGAGGCGACAAGCACAGGCGCTCCCATCCTGGCACTAGCGCGTGTGCGTAGTGACCCGGTGTAGCGGAAACGGCAGTCTGCATACAAACTCCCAATCCTGGCGCTAGCGCGTATGCGCGGTATCCAGGATAGCGGGGGCGACAGTCCGCAGCCAACTTCCAATCCCGGCCCGCTAGCGCGTATGCGACGGAGTAACGGCGGCGTATCCCAAAACATCCCACAGAGGACGCCGACGAAGGAGCTGGCAGAACCAGGAGGAGGAACGGTGAGCTAGCCGATGAGCTAGCGGCTGTGAGCTAGCCGCGGCAAATTGTGGTGAGCGGAAGCAGAAAAACAGTTCGTTACAACTTTTGTCGATTTACTTCCTGTTCGGCAAGTGTGATCAGAGCGTTGAACCCACTTGAGTCCACCGCTTGCGTCAGATAGACCGAAGCTGAGGAAAAGGTACTAAGAATGTACTGGCAGCCGGCTACAGATGACTTCAAGTTCGACGTCAAATATCAAGTCCCGAGAAGCGTGATGACAGGGAACGCGTCGCTACTAAGAGGGAGTTCCTAAGCCTGGTCATGTCCAAGTTTGACCCGATTGGATTCCTGAGCTGCTACATGGTAACTGCCAAATTGTTAATGCGAGGGATTTGGCGGAGAGGAGTCAACTGGGACGAGCCCCCACCAGATAATTTGGCCGCTGCCTTTGCAGCTGGAATAAGCAAAATGGCGACAAGGAATAAGCAAAATCTAAGAGTTCCGATGTCCACACTACTACTTCGGGGGTGGACGCGTGGGATGCTACAGCTGCACATCTTCGAGGGTCACTTACAAGAACGGAGACTTGCGGGCGCATTTCATAAGCTACAAGACGAAATGCGCTCCGAAGAGGACTATATCGATCCCGCGACTGGAACTTCTTAGACTGTGTTGCACTGGATAAGCAGATAAGCAGGCAGAGATCTTGGGATTCACGGAGGCGTCCCAGTGGAGATGGATTCCGTGTGCCGAAAACTTGGCAGATGACGCGATGAGGCCGCGCAAGGCAGTGGTCCTGAGCATCGGTTTGCGATGGCTAAGCGGTCCACCATTTCAACGAGGACCAGAGGAGAGCTGGCCAAGATCGAGCGAGGGATGGATTTCTCCGATGCCCGACGAAGAGGAAATGAAGTATGAGTTTGCCTTGGTTATGGTAAACTTCATATCCTTGCAGAGATTCTCTAACTACAATCGACTGATGAGGAGCACCGCATGGGGGCTCAGATTCATTCGACGGTGCCGTGGACTACGATACGATGGAGAGGATCACGGACTGACGTAAATGGAGAGCGCTGAAGCAGAATGCGAGCGAGAAGGGCAGCCGACTGCATGGACTGTCCTCATACTTCGACGAGGTCGGAGTAATGCGAGCTAGCGGGAGGATCAGGAAACGGAGACGCGGCGAATGTACCATACAGCGCACGTCGGCCGATCATACTGTCTCACGAAGAGGCATTGGCGGAGATGATTATGCAGCATCACACAGAGCAAAACACAGGCAACCATCGGAGCGATCCGGCTGAAGTTCTGGATTTCGAACTTACGGAGGCTGCTACGGAGGGGGGTGAGCAAATGATCGTTTGCCGTGAAGGGCACGACCAACTCAGCCCGAGATGGGTCCCCTGCCAGAGGACCGGCTGGAGGCCAACGGATGGCCCTTTAAGTTTACCGGATTGGATTATTTTGGACCGCTATTTGTAACGGTTGGACGTCGCACGGAGAAGAGGTGAGTGGCACTGTTAACCTGTCTGACCACAAGAGCTATCCACTTTGAGATGGCTCACGATTTGTCCACTGATTCCTTCATAATCCCTATGAGGAACTTAATGAGCCGACGTGGATCCGTCGTCAGGATCAGGAGCGACAATGGAAAGAACTTCGCTGGAGCCAACCACGAGGCCAAGAGGTTCAGCGAAGTGTTCGAGCCTGTCCCTGCCTTAGTTTTGTAAGCTCTTGCTTACAAGTACAAGTACAATGGACGCTTATCGGCATAGGTAAAGTCAAGGCGACTTATAATAGCATCAAAATTAAAAACTGTATTAAAGGATGAAAGGTTAGAATCAGCAGATCCCCTAATCTTGTTAGCGATTATGAGAACAGCCTAATCATTTTTAGAACTACCATCAAACCTTCTGAACATCTCATATGATGCTAGTGCTGTCTGTCGCCAACATATTTTTGACCCATCAAATTCTGGCAATGATTTTACCACATCAAGGCTTTTGTCACAAGGCACATTACCGGATATAGCAACAGGCAAGAATACTGTAATATCAGGAGCGGTTACTGTCGCAGCGCTAAACCTATCAGTGACTTCCCTCAATTTCTCTTCGAACTCTTGTTTCTGCACCTGCGGCCGAACCCGCTACGTTTATGTTTGCCAGTAGTTGTTGTAGATCCATACTTTGTTTTTCCTGTACTATGTGTTCGGTGGCCTCTTCTGATAAAGCGAGGTTGCTCAGCTGAACAACCAAGTCCTCAGTTTATCAAGTCTCAACAATATTGTACCTTCGCCAAGCGCTAATATCGGCGCTTATCTATTTACCGTACTCTTTTACGCGAAATGAATTTTACTGATTACCGTGACACCCAAAGAAATAAATTACTCTAGATTAAATTCCGACACTGTTTTCAAAAATCA